GAGAGAGAGAGAGAGAGAGAGAGAGGAGAGACTCCCGGCCAACTGTTCACAGTGCGACAGGAGAATCTAACAACGAACTATAATGGGATTTCAGCTTATCTCGCGGCCCTGAGAGTTTTCCTCGTGGCACGAACACGAGGGAACGTGTAACACAGTAAGAGATAGAAGGATGCTTGATGCGTGACACCACATTAATTACCGGTACGTCCCAAGAACCAACCATTTTCGAGGCTGCCTTTCGATCCCTCCCTCTTCAGACACTGTTCACATTACGTCTATTGCTTCCCGCCCTATCTTTCGTCGCTGGTCTCGCTGTTTCTCATCCACTTTTCAACGAACAGCCAAAATACCACCGACTGTCCCTCCACACAGTAGGCTCTGTGTTCTACCGCTGAAAACCTGTGTTAACCGGTGGATATTTCGTACGTGTAATCTGTTAGCATGCTTAACAAAGTCTCTCCCCGATGTAGATAAGAAGGCTTGAAAAGGTTGTACCCGATTAATAACTCGCGACTCGTCGTCGCGATATCCAGGAACACGGGGAGAAACTATCTTTCAGCAAGCGCGGCGGAAGTTGTTGCAAACTTTGAATACGTTCTGATGCCTTTCTCGCAATTAAGGAAGCCGAGGCGACGGACCCATTAAAGGAACGCTCGAAAGTGGCGTTAAATTTAACGAGTTTCCAGAACTGTGAAACTATTATTAGAACGATGATAATACACCCAAGGATCATCTCGTAAAGAAAAATTGTACAAATCATAGGAAACTCCGCTTTAACCCGAGGTACCTTATTGTATTTCTTAAAGGGGAGGAGCCCTGAACGTCGGACCAAGAAACCGTCCTTACTACACTGTAAAACAGTTGCAGCGAAACACACGTCGGGGTATATAAAGGATAAAATACTTTGCAACGCCTTCGGATGAGACCTCTGCGTGCACATATCTAGTCTAGTGCTTTTAACCGGATGCATATTTCAGTGGAAACAGAGTGTCACGAGGGCGAGGCGGACTTCTTTTTTCTCTTTTTTTTTATCGTAAGACCACTTATTAATTATTACGAAACCACCGTACACACGAATTTCTAACGATGCACGCAGACAGAAATAAATTCCAAATCATCGACTATCACGCGCAGACGTTGAAACCTCCGTGAAATAACTTGCCTCGAAGCGGCTGAAATACATTACGTTCCCGCTCACGGTTCTACGTATGTATGTACACAGAAACCGTTCTGAACAGGTCGCCGCTTTTAAATCGTCCCCGTTTCTTCTCTTTTACCTGCATCCAGCCGCAGAACGAAAATATAACCTCGTAAATTTCGCTTGGTTTACCGGTGTACCCAGGGATCTTGGCATTAACACTTAGAGTAGCTAAGCAAGGGTGGAAAACGAGGAGAAAGCTGGATAGAGAAAGAGAGAGAGAGATATATAGAGGTACATGAAGGTACCTGCAACGCATTTCAATGCAGCTCGGTGCAGAACATATTCCTCAACACAACCAGATGCCCTCCCCCATATACGCGCAACATGCCAAGCGTGTCTCTGTGAGCTTACACGATACGATCGTGCAACTACACGACCGTACGTATACAGGGTGCTCTGGTAACCATGGTACAATTAGAGTGAAGTGATTCTTTGTAGAAAAATAATACAGTTTTTTCTTATGTGTACAATCTTTACCGTTAAGTGTCTGTCGGATAGTTCAGAAATGTAATACCTTGCGGCAATGACAACTGACAAAGTATGGTAAGTGAATAATAGTTTGACGCAATTTGCAATGCTAGGACAACTCTGAGAGGGGTACACCATCCTGAGGCGTCTAAAAAAAAAAGAAAAGATTTGGAAATTTTTTTCAGAGATGACTACTAAATGAAAAATGTCCACTTTTTCAGAGGATACGAATGTAACTTTCAGCTTCTTCCTCCAATTTTTAGGAAGTTAAAATGGGGCGGTTATTCGCTAATGCATGATATTTGAAAAATTGTAATTATCATAGAAATAGTGGCAGTGTGAAGAGGAAAACTTCTTCTTACCAAAAAAAAAAAATCAACTTTGAGCATTTCTAAAATATTAAATAACAAATTGACATATCGAAAAAATCGTATGCTACATTGTAGGTAATGCATTTTTATTTATAAATCAAGAAGAATTTTTTGAAATGCTCTAACACAAGTTTCGCAATAACACCTCCATTTTGTAATATTTTTACATTTTAAAAATTCGAGGAAAAAACAAAGTTACATTTACATTCTTTGAAAAAATTGAAGCTTTTCATTTAGTAGTTACCTATGAAAAAAATTCCCAAATTTCGTGGGTGATGTACCCGCTTAAAGACAAATGTCTGTAATTAAGTGTAAAAGCATATAATAGTTTCTGTACGAACATAACGGGTGTCTTAATACCCGCCTGTGGAAATAAATTTTCCCAAAACTTGAAATTTCGTTTTTCCTTCGAACTCGAGATGCAAAACGGGTGCAATACGCAAAGGGACTCGCGACTACTCGACAGAACGATCTGCGTAGCGGCCTAAACTCAACCTAAACTAAAATTAAACATCCATTTCACAAAGAATCACCCTGTAACTGCTTCTATCACGATTACTCGGACACCCTGTGTGCTCTAATACACATGTACACGCACCCACACACGACTTTCAAATGGAAGCTACCCTTCCATGCAGGTAAGTGGCACCGCAACATTCCCACCGGTGTTTCGCAACGAAGAAACCCGGAAAAACAGTCATGTTTATCATCGAGTTATCGTGGACGAACCTAAAGACGGATACAGAGACAGAAGAAAACGGCGTGCAACTTGTAAGAACGAAAGTGCTCTAATGTACGAACGTATAATACCTCGTTTCTGTCGCCGTGGAGAAATAACATCGGTTCAACAGCCAGGTGAACCTGCCGCGTTAACGAATTCTCGTAAACCCAACGAACGAAATGCAAACCAGTGCCTTTTTCACGTGGCAAATAAAAGGGTTTCGATGTACCCGCTGTTTACCAACGAGCTTCGGTGTCGCTTACGTTTCAAGATATATCTCGAGTAAAATTTGATTCCTGTTAGCAGAGTTGGGTGAAATGTTTGATCACGTTTAAAAGCACGACACAGAGTTCTGTGGTCTGTTTTGAAAAAAATCGTCCACGTGAATTTGCGTCGAAAGGTGGGAGGAGTAGTTCGGATGTGTAAATATTGAACGTTGCAGGCTTCACGTGTCTCAGCGTGTAATTAATATTGAGGAAAAAAAATGCTTATGGACAAACTATAAAATGTATTAGCACGCGCGTGCACCCGTACGAGGAGAAGAGGCCAGTTACCCCTTGTCTACGACACTCGAAAGTGGTTCCCTAGCTTGCTAGTGCTTCGCAACGCGTGAGAAACCCGGAAAAATAATACCATTTATCATTATTTACGCAAGCTGCGGGAGAACAGCTGGGACAAAAAGTTTCTGTGCCGGGGTAAATTCTACCTTAATTTCTAAATAAGAATATGCATCGTTTTGACAATGGAAGAACCGACCGGGTCAAAATGGCCCATTAACAATCAAAAATAGTGCAAAAGAGAATTTTTATGTAACTTCAAACGTGACTAAAAAATCTGTCTCATATAGATAGAGAAAACAAAGTCGGAACGTTGTAAACTGTAATACTAAAATTCACCTTTTTCTTGGAAAGTTGCTAATGGGTCTATTTTGACCCGGCTGATCCTTCTAGTGTTAAGTGATTGTTATGTATAAAGCAATCGATGAGTGTATCATATCTTATTAAAGAATTTAGAAAAAGGAGAAATATTTTAAAATTTATATTATCCTCGAGATAAATCTATTTTAACCCTGAATCCCTTCCTAGAAATAAAACAAACTTTAAACGATAATTGTAGCATCGTGAAGAGACAAAACGATCAAACTGTTGCATCTCGTTAAAAGACTTTTCAGATAAAAAGGACACTTTTGCTAAAAACAGAAAGAAAACAAAAAACCATTGGAACATTATTTCACTCTATACATCGAATTCCTCTTCGATCTTCGCCTTGCTTCGTTAAACAAATTAAGGAACGGAGAAGGAATATTTCTTATATTGGTCAGAGGGGTGAGAGAACAGAGCTGAACTCCACGCTGCGTCGTTCAGTCAGCCAACAGATATTCAACGGCCGAAACTCGCTTTGATAGCACAGAATACTCTACATATTTCCAACGTACAAAGCACCTTTCCACTGCGCTCAAAGAATCCGGGTTCGTTTAAAAGATTGATAGCACTGAATTCGCGTAAAGATTATTTACCGATTGACCCAGTGAACGAACGATATATAGATCGAAGCTGACTAAAAGAAACAGAGAGAGAGAGAGTGTGTGTGGTGGAAAAATTCGAGAGGAAACGATTCGTAAAGGGCGTAGGAGCAGCCAGAAAGAGAGAAAGAGAGGGATAGAGATAGAGGAGGTGGATAGACCGTGCAGAACCGGCGGACGTGCGCCTCTTTTTCTACTGTCGAGTGCAACGAACAGAACCTGCGCCATGAGGTACCGCTGAAGGCGCGCAGGCACGCTCAACCACGCTGGTGCATGCGCAATGGTGTATTGATCCTGTGGAAAATCCGAGATGCACGTAACATCATCCAGTGGTCCATTGGCTGTACACAATGTCATTTCT